TGCTACGATAGGCTGGTGTCTCCGTATTCGTTCATACATTTACGTGTGTTTAACCACAACTCCATCAAAAGGGACGCCCTGTTAGGCGAGGCCACGATCGACGTCTACGAACTGCTGACCCGCAACGGCGGCCACTTTGAACGACTGGCCTGTCCTCTGCAGTTACAGTCGCCGACCAGTAATGGCCCGAAAACGAGTCGAAATCCGTGTTATTTGTACACAATGTTGGATGGATTGCGAGTCGAGATGAATAGGTATCCGCCGAAAGAGACTCAAATCCAACGCTCGATGGGTGTCCGACCTGTCAGTAACGGCGACGACGTCGGCGGCACCGGTAGTCCGTCGTCGTCCTCCACACCACTATTGCCTCGAATCGCCGAATCGGATGCAATGGCGTCGTCGCCGTCGGCCGCAGCTCAAGACGGCGGCGCCGGAGACACCGTTACGGCCAACGGAGGCGTTCCTAACGGAGTGGCCAACGGTGTGCCCAATGGTGTCAACTCTATTCTCAGTTCACTGCCCCGTTGGTCACTCAACGACCCCAACCCTAACCTAAGAGTCGCTAACCCTAACCAGACTGTGAGCGCCGCCGAACCGACGATTGCCGCACCGGCCGCCCAGCAGAGGGAGAGCGCCCCACCCGTTGCCACACCCGTTCCCAGACCTAGTCCTGCGCGGCAAACATCATTACCGGCGCCACCGCCGCCTCCCGTACAACCGCCTCCATTGCCTGCCGTCGCGCCCACCGCTCAGCCACCATCGGTACCACCGGCTGTGGATGAGGAGCCCCTTCCCACCGGTTGGGAGATTAGATACGATTCATTTTCAAGGTTTGTACACAACTTGTTGTCTTTTAGTGTCATTTCCTTTCTGTGTTGAACATTAGCCTACTTTTCATGAGATGATCTTTAATACCACTAATTGACTGATTGTTTGCAACGTATGTTACGATTATTAGTGAATGTGATTGTGTAGCGAAGAGAAAGGGGTTGGGGTTAGGGTTTGTCTTCACTTTTAGTGACGTTTAGTTAAAGAGTGAATTATTATTTGATATTTAGTTCACAAACTTTTGTTTTTGATTGTAATTTGAGTTTAACTATATTTTGAAGATTTTGTTAACATTTTTCAATAACAACTATTTTAAACACTGTAAATGTCTAACAGAAAGTATTACGTGGACCACAATTCCCGGTCCACGACATGGGAACGGCCGCAACCGTTACCCCACGGCTGGGAAATGAGACGCGACAATAGGGGACGAGTCTATTACGTCGATCACAACACTAGGTATGCAAAACTAAATGAACTATCATTTGGATTGGATTTACAAATGGTTGTTGTTGTTGTGCCGCACAGGACGACGACATGGCAGAGGCCAACGCCCGAACACGTGCGCAATTTCCAACACTGGCAGTCACAACAGGGCTCTATTATGCAACAATGCGGTCAGAGGTTTCTCTACGATCACTCCAATAATAACGGCACGGTCGCCAACGGCACGGCTAACCCGCCGGCGGCCACCGCCACACCCGCCAGCACTGCGGCGCCCGCCGAAGAGGACTCGACGCTCGAAGCGCTGCCCGAGGGTTGGGAACGACGAGTGGATCCGAGCGGAAGAGTCTATTTTGTTAATCATAAAAATAAAGTGAGTGAAAACCCATGCGTTTTGATTGATTTAGTGTTTAATAAATTGTATAATTAAAACTCATAGACGACTCAATGGGAAGATCCGCGAACTCAGGGTAAAGAGACGCCAAACCTGACGGCAGACATACCGCTGCCTCAGGGCTGGGAAATGAAGTACACGACGGAAGGGACGCCTTATTTCGTGGACCACAACACGAAGACAACGACATTCAACGACCCGCGCGGACCAAAGATAGGCAAAGGCCAGTACGGGGTGCCCGCGGCCTACGAGCGCTCATTCCGGTGGAAGTTAACGCAATTCCGATATCTGTGTCACTACAACGCCCTCCCGAGCCATATCAAGATACAGGTCGCGCGCGCCAACATCTTCGAGGACTCCTTCCACGCCATTATGAGGGTTCCGCCCCATGAGCTCAGGCGCCGACTCTTCATCACGTTTCGCAACGAAGAAGGGCTCGATTACGGCGGTATCGCCAGAGAGTGGTTTTTCCTCCTCTCACACGAAGTATGCCTTTTGTCTAAACCTCTTGTTTGCCATTTAACTGATGGTCTGATTTGATGTCTAAACAGGTGTTAAATCCGATGTACTGTCTGTTTGAATACGCGGGCAAAAACAACTATTCACTTCAGATCAATCCGGCCTCGAGTGTAAATCCGGATCATTTGCTTTACTTTAGATTCATTGGACGATTCATTGCAATGGTTTGTTTGCCTTTTGTTTTTGTTAATAATAGCCTAACAATTCTCTATAGATTTTTATTTTGATTAATGGATTTCTATGAAAATTGATTTTTATATTTTCATTATTATTTCAATATTTATTTTAATGACTGAATTAATGGATTCTCATAATTGACTTTTTTAGCTTTTGTGTCGTTTGTTATTTTAATATATGAGAGACTGAGAGCTGAATAAACGTCCAGTTATAAACACAACAATATAACTGGACGTTTATTCAGCTCTCAGTCTCTCATATGATATTTTATAACGAGATTTAATGATTTTATTAATTATTAATTCGTTGTTGTTTTAGTTATTAATTTTTAAACCATGCATTTTTTCATTGTTCTTTATTATAGGCTTTATTTCATGGAAAGTTCATATACTCTGGTTTTACGCTTCCGTTTTATAAGCGAATGTTAGGCAAAAAGCTGGTCATGAAAGACATCGAATCAATTGATCCCGAGTTTTATAATTCGCTTCTTTGGATTAAGTAATTGAGTTTTTTGTGGTTTGTTTTAATCGACAATTGAATTAATGTTTGTATTTGTGTTTAAAGAGAGAATTCCGTAGAAGAATGTGGTCTTGAGTTATATTTTTCGGTTGATTTCGAGATCTTAGGACAAATACAATCGCATGAATTAGTGCCCAATGGGGGCGACAAACGGGTCGACGACCAGAACAAAGACGAGTACTTAAGACTAATGACTGACTGGAGGTTTAGCAGAGGTTTGCCATACAAATGATTTACACACTCTTTGCCAATGGATTTCACGTTTGATTTAACTAATTGTAGGACAAGAAGAACAGACGAAAGCCTTTTTGGACGGCTTTAACGAAGTCTTACCACTCGAATGGTTACACTATTTCGACGAAAGAGAATTAGAGCTATTGTTGTGCGGAATGCAAGAGATAGACATCGAGGACTGGCAGCGCAACTCCATATACAGACACTATACTAGAAATTCAAAGCAAATCATATGGTTTTGGCAATTCGTGAGAGACGGTTGCGATAACGAGAAACGCGCCCGACTTTTGCAGTTCGTCACAGGTTTGGCAACACTTGTACTGATTGTAAATAACATAACATTTATTTAAATGAATGCTTTTTGTGAATGAAACCATAGGCACGTGTAGAGTACCGGTGGGAGGGTTTGCAGAGTTGATGGGCTCTAATGGTCCGCAAAGGTTTTGCATCGAAAAGGTGGGCAAAGAGAATTGGTTGCCGCGTTCGCACACGTGCTTCAATCGACTCGATTTACCGCCTTATAAATCGTACGAACAATTGGTCGAAAAGCTTACGTTCGCTATCGAAGAGACCGAAGGCTTCTCTCAGGAATAGCGGCGCCCAAAGCAGAGGCGGACCGAAAGTACGACCACTGGAATCGCCCGAAGAGCCCAACAAATTCACTCAAATCTATATATAAAATGTGTGTTTCAAATAAATTGTAGACACACTTCGACTGTTAGTCTCTATGCGACTAATCTTATTGTTAGACTTGTTGTTTATGCTTAACATTAGGCACTCAAATGTGTTGTTTTGAATACTACGCGATGAGAACTACGAGTTGTTTTTATCCCTATATATAATTGTTATCTGTTTACGAATTCTCTCACATTTTTTAAAGTTTTAGAATTTATTGATTATTAAAATTCATTATATTTTTTATGAAAAATCAAACAAAAGAAAAGACAAAAACAAATGATTGAGTACTTAATGTTAGGCATAAAACCAAATGTATAATCATTTTATGTATATTAGTATTATTGATATGAGGAAAACAAAATGAAATGTTCAATGAATTGATTATATATATTATAAAGTTCTTTATATTTAAATATTATAATTATTATAAAAACTAAATAAAAGTTTTAGTACTTCAAAGTAATTGTCAATAAAAAATAAAAAGCAAATTAAATATAATTCATGAAAACAATTGCCAAACAATCGATTCAATGCACAACTTATTCGTCAATTAAAACATCCATTTTCTGGTCACAAATATAAACATCTCATACGAAAACTTGTTTCGCAAAACTCAACAAAAAATCGCCAAAATATTAAAAGTAATTATTTATTTTAATTAATAAATAATTTTTATATAAACATAAAAGCATTTGATTTGTCGACAAATTCGGGATTAAATGAAATACAAAATAAACTAAAGGCAGAGAAATCGGTCGGTGAGTGAAAGGGAAAGAAAAATATAGTTTGAATGTGTTTTTGCGATGAATTTGATTTCTATATTCGTTTAATAATAGCAATGATCTTAAAACAGATATTTCACTTATTAATTAACTATTCATTAAAAATATTATAATTATTATATATATTGTATATATTTGATGGACTCATGCACTACTGGTAAGCGATATATCCGGGATGCGATGAGATGTCGGTGCTGTACACCTGTATGGAGCCATCGGGCGCCTGATGGGCGTACGAGTGGTGCGGATGTCCTATAGAGTAGGTGTGCGGGTATACGCCTATCGGCTGATGTATACTCGAGGCGGGAATGTATGTCGGCTGTTGATGCGATACCAGTCCCTCCAAGTATATCACCGCCGGGTTTGCCGTTCCTATACATAACACCACATAATCATCATTATAAACATTAACCAATTGATCCCTATATAACTCAACACATATACTAAACAATAGGATTGATATAAAAGAGATAACGTATGGGAATTTGCGGACAAACCTTGGGAATGACCGAGTATTGGCTGCTGTCCGGCAAACATACACGACTGTTGCGACGACGTGGACGCCATGGATTGGTGATAGTGATGGCCGCCGACCACCTCCTCATTGGCCACTTCGACAACAGTAGTGGTGGCGGTCGTCGTATTGACGGTGGCGTTCATTTCGCTCTTCACTTCGGGAGTGGTGTCGGCCTTATTCTTGGCCTCTTTGAGGATCGCGTACTGCTCTTCCCAGTACTTGAGGTCAGCGCTCACACTCTCGATCGACTCTTCCAACTGTTTCTTGTCTTGCATTCGCGTCACGAACTCCGGGTCGTCGTCAGCGCCGGCTTCGGCGCAATGACAGGTCGCCATCCCTTCCTTCAGCTTAGAGTTGGCCGACTCGTACTCCCTCTTCATCTTCAGCACCACTTTAATCAACTGTTTGGAGACATCGATGCGCGCTCTCATTGTCTTCATCCGCATGACCAGCATCTGCACCATTGCCATCAACTCTTCCGTTTGGGTCTCATATATCTTGCGCTCCAAATCGATCTCAAACTGATGGCTCATTTCCTCCGCCTCTGTGCTAATCATCTTCTCATTCATCTCTTCGTTATTCTCTGAAAAAATGGGATCAAATTCATTGACACAACAAAAATCGAGACCACAATCGCATCCAAAATGCATACTATTGTTGAGTGATTCGTCATCCTTAGCGTCGGTATCCATGGCCTCCTCTTCGGCGGCGTTCGTGTCGTGAAAGGACTTCTTGGCCTTATCTCTGGCGATCTTAAGCATCGCCGCCCTCCAGTTGGAGGGCAACCGTTTCACACCGATGTCCACCATTTTGACCGTTTGAATGCAATCGCATTTCACCACCAGTTTGGCCAACGCTTCCTCGTGAGCCGACAGCTGCTTATTGACGGCCGTCTTGTCGTCGTCGCTCTGACACTGACATAAAGACCGCAATTGTTTCAACGATTGGTTACACGACTCGAGGTCTGACTTAATGTTGGCTTCAGATGAGGAGACAAACAAAAAAAACAGTTATCAGTAATCAATGGATTCTGTGGCCAATCGGTTGTGATTAGCGGCCAAACAATGGGTAAACATGTGGTGGCCGTCGCCGCACAGCCCATACATACCGAGTATGTGTTTGTGTTGACCAATGGTCTCGTACTCATTGGCCAATTTGTCCAACACGTCGTACCGCTCGGCGATCATCTTCTGGACCTCTTTGCAGAGCTTCTGCGAAGACGTGAACCGCAACTTAAACGGCAAGTCATTGATATTGTCGTCAAACGAGTCGCCCATGGCTTAGATGTCTGTGTGTTTTGGTGTCGTGTCTGTCGTTACGGCGGATGTCTTAAGCGGCGATCAATTGGTGGCCCAAAACAAAACGTGTGGATCAGTCTCTCAAACAGACATCACTTTTTCAGATGCGATCAAAAGCCGCGACTTTTTGTGTTTGGATTTTTCGCTACAAAAACACACAAACAGTTAGTTTTGTTGACATTTCGCTGCAAACAAACGCATTGCTTTCCAATGAGTGACTATAGGCTCGTATGTCTACAACTATTTTGCATAGACTGTACGCCTTATGGCCGCCATAACAGCGTAACGCGTCTTTAGTACAGTCGACACCCTTTATAGTGACCATCGATGGCGCTCGAGGTGTCACGTGTTTCGGGAGTCGCGCGTACTTTCAACGCTCTCTACAGTAATTACTTACCAAATGGTGACAATTGGGCGACAATTATATCACTTTGGATGCGATTCAATGCGTTTAACAAATACTTTGAGCCATTGAATGGTGTGGTAAAGAGATGACCACTGCATTTGTGTCTACCCTATACTCGCATTATTGCCGTACTTTTGGGCCCTTTCTATGCGTGGGTTAGTATTGCGTGAGTTGTGACAAATGGTACGCCAGGAATGACAGCATAAATAATGTTATCAATGGCTTGAGTGGCACTGATATGCAGTGATAGGCAGTGTATGTGTAGAACATATGGAAACTCAACACACGTTCGCATTTCACTCCCATTTGACGGACGTTTTACACTGTATTTCGCATTCACTATAACACAGAATATTCCGGACATTCATTCCGATAGT